ATTTCAGCCACACCCTTTTTACTTTATTATATTTTCAAATGCACCTCCTCTATTATCAAAAATATCATTGATACCCCTTCTAGTTTATATTTAAACATCACTAACACCCCTTGCCATTAAGCCTCAATTTCTAACAAAAAAAATATCTAAAATACCAAAAATGTCCCTACATAAACTCTAAACAATTTTTTTTATATACAATTTAATTAAAATTCGAGCTGATTAAAATTTATTTTTTTACATATTAAAATTCGAGTTAATTAGAATTTATTTTTTTATATATTAAAATTTGAGTCGATTAGAATTCGATTCGAACTGATTAAATTTTATTTTTTTATCTATTAAAATTAAAGTTTATTAATTTTTTTTTACGTGTTAAAATTCGAGTCGATTTAAGCTCTACCTTTGTTGTTAGTATCGATTAAAATTTATATTTTTTTAATTATTAAAATTATGTCAATTAAAGTTTGTTTCATTAAAATTTATATTTTTTATGTATTAAAATTTGAGCCGATCAAAATTCAATGCGACTTAATTAACATTTGATTTGAATCGATTAAAAATAATTTTTAATTGGCTCAAATTTTAATTAACTTAAATTGAATTTTAATTGGCCCAAATTTTAATACGTAAAAAAATTTAGAAAACAAAGGGGATCTCATTGAAGATATGTTTATTTAGAGAGGGTGTAGATAAAGTTTGTCCTCAAATATATCATGAGCAATTTAGTAAAATTGCATTCTAGTTAATATTTTTAATCTGAGGGTGTCAGTGAAATTTTAGAAAATAGAGATAATGTCTTTGATAATATGGAAAACTAGAGGAGGTGCGGTTGAAATTTTCCCTATATTTTTCTTTGTTGTTAAAGACTTATTTTTGAGTTAACTAGAATCCAGATTGCGTGAATATGAGGTTCATACTTCAAATTTGTGGTATCAGACATCAACTTGTAAGGTTTTAAGACATATTGATATTGACCTAAAAGAAAAAGTTGAATATAACAATAGATTCAGGCCATTTCACGATTTCACGAAATCATATCAATTAATCTAAGGACGATAATTCAGCAAGTCTTAGATTTTGTAGGTAATGTGTAATAGACTCGAAAAGTATCGAATCAAATATGACTCATTCGACTCATATTAATATTAATATTAATATCGACAGATACTGTGAATCAAGACAAGGTTAATTCTTTAAATGGCATTCAAGTTTCTGGTGGTTGTTGGTCCAACAATTAGTTAATCCATAATTACTAGTGTCTCCTGAACATGAATTAAATGTGAGCTAATCCTTTGTTAGTGATGCATTTGATATGGGTTACAGCAAATATCCTGCAAAATTGATTATTCACAGTTATAATTTTTGTAAGTATCTGAGAGTCTGTATTGCAGCAATCTGTTCTATTTTAATTTCAGCATCACAGGTTGAAGAATAAAAATAGTTCCTTTTTTTTTATTTAACGGTTAATGGTGTTCGAGTTAATTTACGTGCATTTCGACTAATTTTCTTCTTAGTCTGGTAAAAGACAGGCTATCCACGCTAGGATTAAGGTATTCATGAAGGATTGATAAATCTTTCATGGTCTGGCCCAAGGGTTACTAAAATTCACATTCAAGACGTCTGAATTTATAATTTATCTTTATTAACACTTGAACTATCTCTTGAAGTTAAAATAATCTTTTCGTATACAAATGAAATTATATACATTTATCTCACCAAATCGCAGTCTGATATAAATCTAAGCTGTATGCTACCTTCTAGACTTTTCTAACTTGTTTGTAGCAGCCTCGAATGAGTCATATGAGTAGGAACGCCTTCATGGCAAAGTGCTACATTTAAGATACAACATAGAATTGACATTTTGGCTTTGTTACAACCCACATGGCTAGTGGTAGAGATGTCCAAATCAGACACCACATGACGAGGGAAATTGTTTCTTAGAGATTTTATAATAAGGGTGGAGTGAAAATCATATATACAATTCTAGTTCCTTCTAAATTATATGTCTAAGGAACCCACATACCAAATGACTTTTTAAAAATCACAGGACTAAGCAAAAAATTGGTAATTTTTGAGTTCAAGAGCTTATAAAGAGTGCCATCTAGTCTAGTTATCGCTTTTAATTCTATCAAAAGTCTGCTGACCAAGATATCAGAACTAAGGCCATAATTTTTTTATGTCTTTGTCTTGAATTTATTATTAAGTGATATAAATACAAAAAGAGTTACATCGAGCTTTAAATCTCATTATCATTGTTATATACTCAAAAACAAAATTAGTAAAGATGTAGCCACCATGTCCCCATTGCATCTCTCTACCTTTTTTACAGAGCCGAGTCGAACAATTTTGAAAATTTCAATTAATCAAGTGGTGAATCTTCTTATTTTTTTTTTAAGTTTTTCAACACATGTACAATATAAATTCCACATATAACTAAGGATGAAAATATGATAAATCATTTTTTTTTTTTTTTTGTAACTTTACGTTTCATATTGTAGTGAGTATTTGTTACTCAAAGTTGGTTTATTGCTTGGTGGAAAAAGAAGTATAAGATTGGAGATTTGATTTCATGTCGTTTGTCTTGAATTTATTAGGTGTGGTGGGAATATTTATATCATTAATTAGGTGGTTCATAGAATATTGTTGAATCAGACTAGAATTTGAAAGACATGATATTTATTTGAGATATCACTCAATCATATATAATTGTGGTGGGTTGGTACAAGACTCTTTGCTATTGGCATGAACAAGTAATTGTTTGCTTGAAAACACACTTGTAAAATCTTAGTGGGAGAGGAGGTTNGACGTCTTTCTCTTGAATTTATTATTAAGTGATATAAATACAAAAAGAGTTACATCGAGCTTTAAATCTCATTATCATTGTTATATACTCAAAAACAAAATTAGTAAAGATGTAGCCACCATGTCCCCATTGCATCTCTCTACCTTTTTTACAGAGCCGAGTCGAACAATTTTGAAAATTTCAATTAATCAAGTGGTGAATCTTCTTATTTTTTTTTTAAGTTTTTCAACACATGTACAATATAAATTCCACATATAACTAAGGATGAAAATATGATAAATCATGTTTTTTTTTTTTTGTAACTTTACGTTTCATATTGTAGTGAGTATTTGTTACTCAAAGTTGGTTTATTGCTTGGTGGAAAAAGAAGTATAAGATTGGAGATTTGATTTCATGTCGTTTGTCTTGAATTTATTAGGTGTGGTGGGAATATTTATATCATTAATTAGGTGGTTCATAGAATATTGTTGAATCAGACTAGAATTTGAAAGACATGATATTTATTTGAGATATCACTCAATCATATATAATTGTGGTGGGTTGGTACAAGACTCTTTGCTATTGGCATGAACAAGTAATTGTTTGCTTGAAAACACACTTGTAAAATCTTAGTGGGAGAGGAGGTTGGACTTGGGAACATAAGCAGCAAAAATAACGAAAAAAGAGAAGAAAAAAAAACCAACTACATACAAGTTTAAGACAAGTTAAGCGTGTAAATTGGATGGGTTGAGTCGAACCGAATTCAAATCTAACGTTAAATATTTAATGCCTCAATAAAAAAAATTGATATTTAAATTGAACTTAGGTTAAAAGAAATTCACTGTAATTTAAATCAAAACTATATTCAAATTAGAGTTCCAAATTCTGTTAATTCAACTTGAATTATCGAAGTCATCTTCAAATTCATATCAGGTTAAATCCTAATTAAGCCCATATTGTTATACATATTTATAAGTTGACAATTGAATCTAATTTCAAACTGAATAGAATCAAATTCTCNGTTGGAGAATTGATTTCATTTCGTTTGTCTTGAATTTATTAGGTGTAGTGGGAATATTTATATCATTAATTAGGTGGTCCATAGAATATTGTTGAATCAGACTAGAATTTGAAAGACATGATATTTATTTGAGATATCACTCAATCATATATAATTGTGGTGGGTTGGTACAAGACTCTTTGCTATTGGCATGAACAAGTAATTGTTTGCTTGAAAACACACTTGTAAAATCTTAGTGGGAGAGGAGGTTGGACTTGGGAACATAAGCAGCAAAAATAACGAAAAAAGAGAAGAAAAAAAAACCAACTACATACAAGTTTAAGACAAGTTAAGCGTGTAAATTGGATGGGTTGAGTCGAACCGAATTCAAATCTAACGTTAAATATTTAATGCCTCAATAAAAAAAATTGATATTTAAATTGAACTTAGGTTAAAAGAAATTCACTGTAATTTAAATCAAAACTATATTCAAATTAGAGTTCCAAATTCTGNAAAATTCATTGCAATTTAAATCAAAACTATATTCAAATTAGAGTTCCGAATTCTGTTAATTCAACTTGAATTATCGAAGTCATCTTCAAATTCATATCAGGTTAAATCCTAATTAAGCCCATATTGTTATACATATTTATAAGTTGACAATTGAATCTAATTTCAAACTGAATAGAATCAAATTCTCCTCGTACCCAATTTTTCTTTAATATCGACATTTTAAACGTGAATAATATTCAAATCGAAGAGTTTTAGTTGCATTAGAGTAGTACTAGATAGACTAGTAGTACCCTATCTCCGATTCCAAACAATCTTCTATTCCTAACAGTGCCAAAAGACTTTTTTTTTTTTTTTTTTGGATCAAAACACTGCCAAAAGACTGAAAAAAGTCATCTGCTACTGCAAGGTGCCCTCAGTTTGCACGTGCCACAGTTCATCTGCGGATTGTGAATTGCCCTCAGTTGCACGTGCCAGCTATAGAATAGCCTCGTCAGTTATGATGACGATCATTAGTACTCTAGATCTGATGGCCAAAAGAAGCACATTGTGATAGTGGTACACAAATCCAAGCTTGGGCCATTGAGTTTGCGAGGAGAGAGAGAGAGAGAGAGTAACACACAGTTTGTCACTTTGTGATTCCCAAGCTTATCAGCTAGCTACCTTCAACCCACTTCTCTCATTTTGGAACCAGAGAGAACCCAAATGGGGGAGGTCCTGAAAGCCTCAATCTTCTTCTCTCAAATTCAACCATTTCTTTTTCCCTTTGTTTTTCCTTCTTTTTTTTGTTATGTGACTGATATGGTTATATCTGGTGGTTTTCAGGAGGAGAAAAAACCAGAGGAAAAGAAAGAGGAGGAAAAAAAGCCCGAGGAAGCCAAGAAAGAAGAACCAAAAGCCGAAAAGCCAAAAGATGCCCCAAAAGAAGAGAAAAAAGGAGAAGAATCCAAGGAGTCAAAGGAATCCAAAGTCCCACCACCACCTCCAGAGATTGTCTTGAGAGTCTTCATGCATTGCGAAGGTTGCGCCAGAAAAGTTCGTCGATGCCTCAAAGGCTTCGAAGGTTTGAAATTTGTTTCTCTCTCTCTTCTCTCTCTCTCTCTCTCTCTCTCTNTGTGACAATTTTTGAAAATGATGAACCGTCACTCTGGAGCTCGATTTTCACTTACCTTGTGCATGATTTGGACAAACTAATTACATGGTTGGAAAGAGGGTAGAAAGAAGTTAAATTTAGACATTTGAATCACCAAAAACGGTTGAGAAACGAGGGAGAAATTAAGGGTCAAAGTTAACCCAAATGTTAAAAAATTTTGATTTTTTCAAAAAATTAGGCTACAGTTGAGAGGGAGGAAGAAGGTGATGAATAGTTGAGAGTACTAAAATCATTTTATCACTTCTGTTTACGGTGTTAACTGTGCATATTGGTCCAAAAGTATAAGGGGGTAATGTGTTGATTTTCAAATTATAGGGGGGTCATGTGTAAAATACTCAAACCACAAGGGGGTAAACTGGATTTTACTTTTTTTTTTTTTTTAAAAGTGCTTATGAGAAATAATTTTTAAAAGTACTTTTAAAAAGTTACTTCAAACACACCCTTAGGCCCCTATTTTTTTTTTTTATTAAATTTAGTATTAATATTAACCGTTAGATTAACTTTAAAGTAAAATTTAAAGTTATCTGAATCGTGTAAAATTAAAGTCATTTTGTTTACCTTTTAAAATTTGAATTGTATGATACTTTATTATATAGATATATGTGATTTGTTAGAATAGATATATTTTTGAAAAAATTTCAGCCACACCCTTTTTACTTTATTATATTTTCAAATGCACCTCCTCTATTATCAAAAATATCATTGATACCCCTTCTAGTTTATATTTAAACATCACTAACACCCCTTGCCATTAAGCCTCAATTTCTAACAAAAAAAATATCTAAAATACCAAAAATGTCCCTACATAAACTCTAAACAATTTTTTTTATATACAATTTAATTAAAATTCGAGCTGATTAAAATTTATTTTTTTACATATTAAAATTCGAGTTAATTAGAATTTATTTTTTTATATATTAAAATTTGAGTCGATTAGAATTCGATTCGAACTGATTAAATTTTATTTTTTTATCTATTAAAATTAAAGTTTATTAATTTTTTTTTACGTGTTAAAATTCGAGTCGATTTAAGCTCTACCTTTGTTGTTAGTATCGATTAAAATTTATATTTTTTTAATTATTAAAATTATGTCAATTAAAGTTTGTTTCATTAAAATTTATATTTTTTATGTATTAAAATTTGAGCCGATCAAAATTCAATGCGACTTAATTAACATTTGATTTGAATCGATTAAAAATAATTTTTAATTGGCTCAAATTTTAATTAACTTAAATTGAATTTTAATTGGCCCAAATTTTAATACGTAAAAAAATTTAGAAAACAAAGGGGATCTCATTGAAGATATGTTTATTTAGAGAGGGTGTAGATAAAGTTTGTCCTCAAATATATCATGAGCAATTTAGTAAAATTGCATTCTAGTTAATATTTTTAATCTGAGGGT